TCTTGTAACTTTCACGTTGTAATTTAGTGACAACAATGGTGGTGTTACTTCATCACTGCTTGCTGTCGTTGAAGGACCTAAGCATCTCAGAATGCTGGTTTGTCCCATCCATTCTCACTTCATAATTCGACTGATGGACCAGGACAGCTCCTAGGCTCACTGTAAGCACCCCCTCACAGCCAGATGCAGTATCAGACTGATAGAAATACTGTATATAAAAAGCATAAAAAAGATTTTTTTGCAGCAATTTTAACAATAAGACCTCATGCACATTGGGCATTTGCCCAGCTTTTCTAAACGCCTTTATCCTGGCAGGAGAAAAGCTGTGTTTTTGCAAATGCATTCAGTGCTTGGACATTTATTCATTTTATTGCACACAATATTAATTTATTTTGACCTTTGAAATGAATCACACCCAAGTACTTGACACGCTTAAGCGCATTTAGATGTATTTACACACATTTAGGCACCTCAGGTGTTTTCTTCTGCCAAAATGTGCTGCTGCTGAACTCACTGGCAGTGCACTTTCTTTTTCCTGCCTCTAAACACCTGTTAACACGAGGTTATATTCAGGGGCATTTAGAGGCCGAAACAAAATGCTAGAAGTGGTGTTTAAAACACCCAGTGTGCATGAGGCCTTAATAAAAGGATCACTTTGGATCAGCCACAAATCCACCCACAATTCACTCTCATTCTCAGCTACATTTTCCATTGAATGGTGGATCTGTAGCTTGTTCTAGTGGAGCTGCTCAGTGAGCGTGAGTGGTATGGCTGCCTCTCTGATACCACCTCCAGGTTCCCACGCAGAGCACAGCTGAGATTTCTGTATCCAAGTGATGATGTCATGATGTAGTTTCTACAAAACTAGGGAGATTTAACCCCAAAAAAATTGTAACCAAATTTTCTCTGTACAGGAATTACAGGGCAGAAATTTAGATTGCAAATTTTAAACTGAGAGTTTAGTTTGAACTATCCAGAGCAGTATTACCTGGTTACTTTCTTGCCCAGGAGTTACAATGAGTCCAGTTGCTGCCATGTAGGTACTTCCAATTGTCTTGATTTTCTCCACTGCACTGAATTTTGGTTTCATTAAAAGCTATCAAAATATATTGTGTTAGTAAACCTTCATTTAAAGTATTCTAAATTAACAATACCATAACACAAGGCATACCTCATCAAAATCAGCGATGATCTCATTTAAAAGCCGCAGACATTCCAGGCCCTCTTTGTTGACATCACATTCTGTGTAGAAGACCTTAAACTCTGGCACTGATGCAAACATTACACAGACACAGTCATATGACTGATGATACAAATCCTGCCAAAAAAAGATCACCATTAAAAAAAACATACAACTTAACAGATAATAATTAAAATAAAAAGAGTTCTGTGTAACCAGATGTGAAGGTGTAATCTGTCCAATAGAACCATGTTTGCAAAATTGTTCCTCTTTACCATTGGAGGAAAGTATTTTTTTAATCATGTCTGTCTCAGAAATTTTGCATTGCCTCACCCGTACAAGGGGTGGGATTGTCTGCTGCCAGTTCAAAGGAACGCATGCCTTTTCTGCATTCAGTAAATGCTTTGTAAGTGATCGTTTGTATCTCTTGGAAACTATGGAGGTCAGAAGGAATAGGAAAGTCGTTGGTTCTTCTCCTAGGTGTACCTCAGTAAGTTTTTACACTAGATCTCCCACCTTAGCCCAGAAAGGCCACAGAACCAGGCAACGCCAAAATATGCGAAGGTATGTGGCTTCCTGAGTGTGACATTGCCAGCACAGGGGAGATATTTGAGGGAAATATTTAGGAAAGGGCGTTGAGAGCATTTAAAATGTTTTAAAGAGGAATGAACTCTGGAAGCTGTGCCCATAAAAAGGAAGGCGGGGGTAAAAGGACTAGTCACCAGTATTTCATGTTGTTCCCTTCAGCTAATCTTTTCCCCAAAATTGACTTACCATGCCTTGTTCTGCACTGTGCCTTGGTGTGGAGGTAACAGTTTTAGTACAGGCAGGGCTTTGCTTCTTCATGTCAGAGCCTCAAGCAAATAGATCAGTGACCAGCACAGTAGCAAAATTACCAAATCTTACTCCAAATCTCCTGAGAATAGCAGTCAGTGGCAACAGTGCCTTAAGCTGCTGATACACAGCTAGAATTTTGGTTGTTTCCTGCTAAATCAGCCTTAAATGGGAAGCCCTACAAGCCCCTCTTGACTCAACAAAAGGTGACCTAACACTTGATTCAAAAATCAACTGAATCAGATGGATAATATCATCATAACAGTGACTGCATCCTATCAGATGCTGTTTAGCCTGAGTGGGAGAATCAACTGATTTTCTCTTGTTCAGTCTTCTGCCTGAATAGGAGACGTTTAGCCATGAGTGGCAAGCTTTAGACAGTGAAGATACATAGCTATGAGGTTGTAGGCACAGGTATATCTAGATATGGAAACATACTAGGAGTACACTGCTTGTTTTCAAGAGGAAGTAAAGACAAATTCAGACCAAATCCACTATTGAAGTTCAGGTCCCATTTAACAAGTTCAGCTCTTTGGATGTACGTAGTATGTCCAAAGAGTGAAGGGTTAAACACAAGCTGATGGTTTCAGTAGACTTGTGGCTGTTTTCCTCAGCCGACTCCCAACTGTAAAATGAAAGTGATTGGGTGGGATGGGGTTGTGGGTGAGCGCTGCAGATACTGAAAGATGTTACACTCTAAATACGGGTGTAACATGTTCCAAAGGTAAACTTATCCTTTAACCCCTTGGGATAGCAGTAAAGTTAAATAACACAAACATTTTTAAAAGTATACTAAAATAAAATAACTAAACATAACCCCATTGCCCTGCACACACCAGCAAATGAAAACACAAGCACAGAGTGCGCACATGTATGTAAACCGTGATTGCATCACGCATGTGAGGTATCGCCTCAATTGTTAGAGTGAGAGCAATAACTCTAGTAGTGCCATAACTCACAGCTGATCCTAAACTGATAACCTGTAAAGGCTTTTTAAAGCTTCTCCTATGGAGATTTTTGGACACCATAGTTTTTCGTGATATCACAGCACACATTATTTTAACCACTTCCCGTCTGGCCCATGTACATGTGACAGCATGTTAAAAAAAAAAAACATAATATATAAAAAAAAAAAAATTAAAAAACTTATTAAAAATTATAATCTTTGGTTATAAACTAATTTGATTTGGGTTATTTTTTTTTACTATAAAGATAGCTGAATACATTTTGGCCAAGATTTATGAAGAAATATTATTTATTTGCAAACTTTTATAAGAAAAACACTTTTTTTTTGTTTCGACTTTTTCATTTATATAGCAAAACAATAAATATCCCAGTGGTGAATAAATACCACCAAAATAAAGTTTTATCTGTCTCAAAAAAAATTGCTGAAAAATTCATATGGGCACAGTGTTGCATGACCGCACAATTGTCATTCAAACTGTGATAGCACTGAAAGCTGAAAATTGGCCTGGACTGGAAGGGGGTGAAAGGATCCGGACTTAAAGTGGTTAAGACTTGACATGTCTGGTATCTATTAGCTCAGCACAACCCAATGTTTTATATTTTTAACAAAAATTGGGTATTATAGCGTGTGTGTTTGCAGTAAAATTATTTTTATTATATTTTTGCCTGAAAATATGCATTTGATAAACAGTTGCACAAATATCTTTTTTCTCTACACTGCCTCTGCTTTCAGAAAATATAAAATGTACTGGGAGTTTTAGAGAATTCTATAGCCAAAAATACAGATTTAGTTTTTTTGCACGTGTGCAAAAAAATAAAATAAATTGCTGTAGTGCCGAAATGGTTAAATAAGGAATAACATACAAAATGCACTCATGCTACAGTACAGAGATTTTTTTCGATCTTTAAAACAACCCCCCTTCCCCTTTATAAGTAACATTTTTCTACTGCTGATTGTTTCACGTGGCAGACTAGGCCTATCTTACCCAACAGAAGAGCAGCAAGCATACTGAAATTGTACCTGCCATTTAAAGTGGTTCTAAAAACAGAAGGTTATTTTATCTTAATGCATTCTATGCATTAAGGTAAAAAAACCTTCTGGGTTCAGCTCCTAGCTCCCCCTTATATTTACCTGAGCGTCATCTTGATCCAGCGATGTGCATGAGAGCAGTGACTGCCAGGTCTCTCCCTCCTAATTGGTTCACAAAACAGCGGGAGCCATTGTCTCCTGCTGCTGTTAATCAAAGCCAGTGAGTCAACAAGGAGAAAGTGGGGACGGGGCTGAGCATTGTCTATTCACAGGAGTGCAGCTCAGGAGCGAGCTTGCTCGAGTGCCCCCATAGCAAGAGGTTTGCTATTTTGGGCACTCGGCAGGGAGGAGGAGTCAGGGCCATTGGCGAGGGACTCAAAATGAAGAGGATTGGGGATGCTCTGTGCCAAACTATAGCACAGAGCAGGTAAGTATAACATGTTTGTTATTTTAAGAAAAAAATTCTAACCTTTAGAATCACTTTAACCCTAGCTGCGAGGAAAGGAGTTTTGGAAATCCATTTTGTAAATTTTTTATAGAAGTTCAGGTCACATTTTTAAATTGAAACTCTATTTGGTTTCTACAATTTCCTAGAAGTACTTTATGATGAAGATCTATGTGCCTAATGGCAGTCCTGTTACTTGATAACTAACCTACCCAACCCACCCCACCCCATCACACTGGTGCTTCTCCCTACTTATAGCTTTAGTCAGCCTAAATAGCTGATAACTGCAGAACATCAGCAGGTGTCCTGAGAAACTTCAGAGAGATTATCTAGTTTACAAATCATCATAGATGCTGGTTTGTTCCTCCCAGTAGATGTATCAGCTGTAGCATAAAGGAAATTAACCATGCACATCTTCATTTATTTTACTGGGTGCTCCATACAATGCCTCTTTTGTAAAGAGAATGCACACTTTATACATTCCCTACCTCATTCATTTTGTTGTCAACAATAAAATAGGCAGCTACATGGGCAGGAAGTACATTTTCTAAGAGAATCCGGTTCAGATTTTCCATGGTTTCAATTTCTTCATCTTCTTTTCTGAATTTCTTTTTCCATAAGCAGTCTAATCTGGAGTAATAGTTCACCTTAACAGAATAAAGGCAGCATCACTACAGAAATACTTGTAATACACAAATACACATACGTAAAACATACAAATGTGAATCTTTATCCTTGTGTGTTAATATTAATAATTTTGACCTACAGCTACAAGACGTTATACTACTCTAAATATTTCATCTATGTTCATCCACCAACGAGTGCCTTTAGCCAAAACTGTCCACTGAAAAAAAGACTGAGTATTTGTAAAATTGTATTTGTCTTTACAGTTGCTGCAATTTAGCTGCAGGACAGAGGAGTTCTAATTATCTCTTTGCCATAATACTTACAGTCTTCATGCCTTTATGGGTGTTAAGAGGATTGCCCATTGTATTTTCAATTATCATACTTAATGTTTCATAATTTACAGGAAAAGCATCAGGGACTATTTAAGATAAGAGAGTTCTAGAGAAAAATTGGATCTTACCATTGGGCTGCTAAGATCATCACAGCCTGTTCCAATCATCCAAAATTAAGTACAAATTAATAGTTTTAAAGTGTTACTAAACCCAGGACCCTGCATTCACTATATCTGGTCTCCCACAGTACACAGAACATGGAAATGCATTATTTTAGTAAATATATACTGCTAAATACCTTTTCTCATCAGCAGTTAGAGCAGTCTTGTGACTTCTATTGGTGTCAGCACTGGTTAAAGCTTGTGGTAGGAGCTTTCATTCTCCCCTGATTGTCCTATGAGGCTGCAGGACCCCTGACCCTCTGTCTGGACAGAGTTGAATGGCCCTGTGCTGATCACATGCACTCTCCCAAAAAAGAAAAAAAAAGTCTCTAGCAATACACACCAAACTGAGCATGTGCAGCTTCCCACAAGGCTCTGTTCTATCAGCAAATGGATTGGGGACAGTAGAAGGGGAGGATCAGAGAAGACAGGATCAAACATCTTTTTTACACAATGCGGAGGATTAACCCCTTAGGTTCCACAGCGAGTATAACGGGCATGCTTTGCTACATATACAGACTGATTTTACTTTTGTGGGTTTAATAACACTTTAGGTTGCTATTTAACGATTACTATAGATCCCTTTCAGAACACAAAGGTAGAGCATTACGGAAGAACAAACACTAACCATTTATACATATTATATTCTAGGTTGATGCTATGTTTGCATTATGTGCAAATATTCTATATATCTGCAGTAATTCTCTATCGCAAGTCTATTTCCCTTTTACGAAATGCTTCCTTTCACTAGTTTCAATGATAAAGAATATGGCATGTGAAGACTCTTAAGCACTTAGGTGCTTGCCTAACTTTCCTCTTCTCCTTAAGGACCAGAGTTAAGCAAAATTAGAGTTATTTCCCACAAGAAACAGATGTTTGCTCTTAGTTTTTTTCTAACCTGTACTAGAAATGTACAACATGCAGTGTGATAGTTGCTAAAGACACTTGCTACAATAACCCCAGAGATAGTCTCTGGGGTTATCAATGGTACGCGCATCCCTTCAGCTACTGCATTAAATACCATGACTACAATTAGACTTCATGAATATACCTTATATTAATGAATATACCTTAGGCTTGCACAGAATTTGTTATTGCTTACCTGACTTGCCAATAATACTAATATTAGAAAGAATAAAGACAGATAGAAGCAGGACATAATTTGCAGGTCTTCCATAATGCCCACAGAACTACAATCAGAAAAAAATAGTAACATCAGTTAAAGCCTACAAAATTCATGTATTTTTAAACTTTTTCTTGAATTATAACTCCAAATAAGAAATAATAGGGAATTACAACTTTGTGGAATTTTGGTTATTATCTAAAGGATCTGTTGAGAGAAAGTTTATTTCCCTAAAAGAAAAAAAAAAAACTCCCCATGACCATTATGAAAACAATTCAGATTATTGGGCACAAGTTCAAAATAAGGCTACTTTCACACTGATCCGTGTCAAAAACATATATGCGTTTTTACCATGTTTGCAATGCATTTTTTTAAAGGGCATGTGACTCAAAAACCGCACCAAAAAACACAACACAGGTGCATTTTATATTCATTTTTGCCATGTCTTCTATTTATTTCAATGGGGAGGTGAGTTGTTGGTGTCATTTTTTTTACTGCCCAAACCTGCAAAATAATTCAGCAAGCAGGACATTGTAAACTCACCAGACCAGCAACTGATCAGTGTGAAGCTTTCCATATGAATACATGGTCACACGTTTTTCTTCCACTTTTTTTAATGCAAAAGCAGAAGTAAAATGGATCTCTGTGAAAGCAGCCTAACTCACTCCATAAGGCAAACTACACTCTGGAATTTCTCTTTGTGATTAAAGACACATAACTTTGAAGTAAAAGTAAAATATCACAATAGTTATCGGCTACATCAGCTAAACCCAGGATATTTGTAGTAACTGTAAACCTCCTACATGAAATATGAACAAGGTATATCCCTCTATAGTGTGCACTCTATAGTGTGCACTTGTCTTAGTGCAAAGCACTAAGTGTCATTTCTGTCTGCTGCCTTGTTCCTCTGCTATCTGCATGGGCTGCTTCTGCCAAGTTTTCATGACACCAAGAGAAAAAGACAACAGGGGAGGGAGCTTTAGCACACAGCCTGTGACTAAGGACTCATGTACACTGCAGCTGATAAACTCACGTTCAGGAGCTTTTCTGTGTTTTTTTCAGCAGCCCCTGAACTCTCTCTGTTTTCCTATGTGTCCATGTACACATAGTCGTTTACAGACAGTTGACAGTCGGTTTTTTTTTAACGCACCAAACTTGCATTCAGGAGTAGATTTTACCAGCGTTTCAAATCGTTTTTTAACTGTTCCATGTCCAGATGCTGTCCAGAGCCTTTTTTCATCATCAGAAATGCATGCAAAGCGTTTTCCAGGTACTCAAATGGACCCAGTACACTAGTGCAGTCAGTTCAAGGTTTCGCGTGAAGGAGAAAATGGTAGAACGTGCTGCATTATGCTCATGATGGGATCCATAGTGAATACAACCAGAAAAGACAGGTAATCTCAACACATACTCTTCTCTGCTTCTGTTCTCTCAAAATTTCTGAAATAGTTAATTTTTTTACTGTTTTTCAGTACATTCTGGGCATTTGGGAAGATCTCCTGAGGTTATCTTTTAAAAACGCTTCTAAACGCAAACGCTCATAAACGCGGTATGCAAACACGGTTAAACTGACGTTTTTTTTAACCTACATTTTCCAGCAGTCAGTTTCCATCATTCAGAAGAGTTCTCCAAATGCCCCGTGTACATGAACCCTGACAGCCACAGCTCAGTTCCTGTGTGCTGTGTGAAGGGGGGGTCCCTTGCCTCCAGTCAGCTCTTACCGAGTTCTGCAGTAACTTCAGCTCCCCGCACCTGAGGCTGTCCCTTCACCGGGTATATGTAAGGGTTTAAAACCACTTTAAATCTAAAATGCAGGGTGATGTGCAAGAGCACTGTATGTTATACCTTATGGAACGGATCTGTATATGTGCTGTACTATTCTACTCCTTCCAGTTCTGACAGGTGAGCTTGAAGATAGGTATGCTGGTGGAACACTGCAGAAACTGAATCCTTTCTCTCCCCAAAACTGAGAAAAACAAGCCCAAAAATGTGCGCTCCTGCTATGCTAGGTGTGACCTGGATGTTTTTTTCCTGAGACACACATAGGACAGCCCATTGATTTGATCACTCAGCTCCTGCACACTCTGACAAATGAACGATCAATGCAAAAATAAGGTAAGGTACAAAACAATCGATCAGCAAAGGAAAACACTGGCTATGCATTCAGAGAAAACAGTGCTCACTGACAATGATTGCATTGGAGAAGCATGCAAGTATAAAGGTGGACAGGAGCAATCTCCTTCAGGGGTAGGGCAGGTGCAAGGTGTATTTTAACGAGCTCAGCTGCTAAAGTACTTCCTCATTCTGATAATAGTCTTCCTGTCCTAAAGGACAGATACCAGGAAGTCATGGAGGAGTTTTCTATAGAAGAAACTGGGGGCTGAGGTACGTCCTGCCCTAAAATATAGAATACATATAGAAAAAGCTTTTTCTTTTTATGCAACAGAGATATGTTAATTGTATTTTGGTATGTAGGGAAGCTGGGATTTAGAAAAAAAAGTGAACCTTTAAATGAAGAAAAAAAATCACTAAGGCTCACAGCCTTTTTTCACTAATTACATGAATCAGGATACAACTTGCTGACTAAATGGTGCTACATTCCACAATGTCTCCAAACATTTTCCCCACCAAAGTAAAAATTGGTAATGTAGCTCTGTCCTTCCTTTCTGTGCCGTCACTGTATCATAAAATACTAACTATCCACTCTGTAATAATATCACCTTTCAAAACTTAAAAGCAAGTTTTTTTAAGCCACTAGATCAGTGACCTCCAAATTGCTCTGGAACCAGCGATACCCCCCTGCTGTCTAGTGGAAAGTGAAGAGTTGCTGTGGCCTGAGGGCCAGATGTGGCCCTTTGCTTGCTTTTATCTGGCCCTTGGAGCACTATATCATCCACTGACACCAACAATGGGGTATAATTCCCCCCAACTGACATCAATGAAAGGGCGCAATTCCTCCCAATGACATCAATGAAGGGGCGCAGTTCCTCCCAATGATCCCAATGATGGGGCACAGTTCCGCCCAATGACACCAACAATTGGGCCCAATAACACCAATGATGGGGCACAATTCCTCCCAATGACACCAATGATAGGGCACAATTCCTCCCAATGATGCCAATAATGGGGCACAGTTCTGCCCAATGACACCAACTATGGGGCACAGTTCCACTCAATAACACCAACAATTGGGCCCAATAAACCAATGATGAGGCAAAATTCCTCCCAATGACACCAATGACGGGGCATGATTCCCCAGTGACACAATGATGTGGCACTGTTATTCTCATTAGCACCACAAATGGGGTATTGTTTTCTCCCACTGATATTGGGACGTTTTCTATTCCCGATGTCCACAGTCCGGCCCCCCTAAAGTCTGAAGAACAGTAAACTGGCCCTTTGTATATAAAGTTTGGATACCCCTGCTTTAGATCAATATGAGCCACCTGTTTTAAACATTATTCTACATTGCTATGCTCCTCCCCTTACCCAAGATATAACCATAAATATTTATTGTGATTATTAAGTGCCAGTATGCTGTAAAATGTCTAATTGTATTATATTTTTTCATAGCTTTATATTATATGCTCCTTAAGTTCTCTAATTGTCTAGTCAATAAGGGCACTCAAGTACACTAGATTAAATAGAAAACTTTTTTTTTTTTACTGTGAAATTAACATGATGCATGAAAAATAACTTTTTCTGTGACACTGAAGAAAAGCTCATTGCAGCTATTGCAGTACGACAATATTTACTTATTAAGTGATCACACCGATGCATTGCTGATGCAGTGGACCATTTACACTCTTACCTGTTGCCCGGTGGTAAGGCATTTCTGAACAAGGCAGAATGTGTATGAAATATAATGACATTGTACACTATGAAGGAAGCGAACAGGAGGAGCATCTTCAGCTCAAAGCTCATTCTCAGGAACACTGAGCATGCAATGAAACCCAAAATACAGCAGTAGATGTAATACTAGAACAAAAGATAAAATGTAATCATATTTCTAGCATTTGCAGAGATAATATAAGCACAGAAAATACACATAAGCACAACATATCACACAAATGTAACCATAATACCTACTAATACACACTGTGATATACACCGATCAGCCATAACTTTTTGAGCTCTGATGGGTTACGTGAATACCATTGATCATTGATAAATATTAGGTGCAGCGCTAAAAAGACTTAAATGACTCCTAAGCTAATAAATGTGATACTGTGCAAATATGATAAAGTGCTAATGCAAACATATAATACTGCCCCAAATAAGTGACAGCAATAAAGTGACTGTTAGTGCTGATAAAGTGACATATATGTTTAAGCAACTAACAATTGCACTGATATGTCAATGAAGTGACAAAGTGAAAATCACTACTACCTACCTGGCACATCACCGAAATCAGTGAATATAACATATGGATCACCGAATTTTGAGATCATACATACCCAGATCTCCACTTTGTCACTTTATGGACAGTACATTGTTATTTGTGCAATTATTATTTTGTTTATTGCATTGGTCACTTTATTTTCACTAGTAGTCACTTTATAGCGACACCATTTACCACCACTTTGAATTTCACTTTGTCACTTTATGAACATATCAGTGCAATTGTTAGTTGCTTAAACATATATGTCACTTTATCAGCACTAACAGTCACTTTATTGCTGTCACTTATTTGGGTCAGTAGTATATGATTGCATTAGCACTTTATCATATTTGCACAGTATCATGTTTATTAGTTTAGGAGTCATTTAAGTCTTTTTAGCGCTGCACCTAATATTTATTAGTGACTTTGGAAGGTTTATTTGGTTACCTTTTCGGTGCTGTAGCAGCTTTGGATTTTTTAGCGCTCGCTTCGTGTTCGTGTTTACCATTGATCATCTGGTTACAATGGCATCTGAAAGTTGGTAGGATATATTAGGCAGCAAGTAAAAATCTTGTCCATGAGGCTGATGTGTTGAAAGCAGAAATTATGGGCATTGCAGGTTCTTGTGTATGGGGATGCGTAGCCATAGACTGATCAGGTTGCCCATGCTGACCCGTATCCACAGTCAAAGGTGCCTACAATGGGCCTGTGAGCATCAGAAGTGGACCACAGAGCAATGGAAGAAGGTGAAAAAAATTTAAATATACAGTGCTCAGTTCAACATATAATTCCAGTGATGAGATTGAATCTTGAACAAATGGTGCACAATCGTGATTCCTCCACCAATTAAATGATCAGCCTCCTACCAGAACATATTGATCTCACTATCCAGAGATCAATACACACTTGTGTGCTAGTAATCGACACTCATCTCACTCACGGGATACTTTCATAGCCTCCTCAGCGTGAAGTAACAAAAAAGCAGAAGGAATCCTCTAATATTGTGGACAGATAATCCCTCCGAAGGAGAAGATCAAAAGGACCACAATGGTTAATTGGTGGTGAAACATGTTGGGCGGGGCCTAGCCGATGACATCATACACACGCTGACACGTGAAATTCCGTATTTGTTACTTATGTGCTCCTTTATTCCTCATATTTGTGAGTATATTTCTGATATTTTTTTAATAAAAAGTGGTTTTATGTTATAACACCATTGCTGTCCTTTGATCTTCTCCTTCGAAGGGATTATCTATCCACTGTATTAGAGGATTCCTTCTGATGTTTGTTAGTTCATGCTGAGAAGGTGATGAAAGTATCCCACAAGTGAGATGAGTGCCGATTACGAGCACACAAGCGTGCATTGATCTTTGGATAGTGAGATCAATATCTTCTGATAAGAGGCTGATCACTTTCTCATGGTGGAGGAATCACAGTTGCACACCATTTGTTCAAGATGTAATCTCATCACTGGAGTTATATGTTGGACTGAGCACTGTATACTTTTTATTTTTTTTTCACTATTTATTTGGCAGATTGCAATTATTCACTATAAAGTGTATTTGTTACTATAAAGCACTATTGATGTTTGTTGAATTGTTGTATAAGGTGAGATGCACACCAAGTGTATATTCATTTGTTATAAGGTCATTATTCGACTTTTTGGGTAGCAGCACTCTTTTCCTGCGCTAAGTGAAAATTGTTTGTGTATAGACCGATGGAAGAAGAAGGTGGCCTGGTCTGATGAATCACATTTTCTTTTACATCATGTGGATGGCTGGGTGCATGTAAATTGTTTACCCAGGAAAGAGATGGCACCAGGTTGCAGTATCAATAGGAGGCAAAACGGTGGAGACAGTGTGATGCTTCAGACAATGTCCTGCTGGGAAACCTTGGGCCCTGCCATTCATGTGGATGTTACTTTGACATGTACCGCCTACCTAAACATTGTTGGTGACCAAAAACACCCCTTCATGGAAATGGTATTCCTTGATGGCAGTGGCCTCTTTCAGCAGGATAATGCACCCTGCCAAACAGCAAAAACAGTTCAACATTGATTTGAGGAACACAACTAGTTTGAGGTTTTGACTTGGCCTCCAAATTTTGCAGATCTCAATCCAATCAAGAATCTGTTCGATGTGCTGGAAAAACAAGTTTTATCCATTGAGGCCTCACTTCACAACTTACAGGACTTAAAGGATCTGCTACTGAGGGCTTGGTGCCAGATACCAAAGCATATCTTAAGAGGTCTAGTGGCGTCCATACCTGAACAGGTCAGAGCTGCTTTGGCAGCAAAAGGGGAACCTACTCAATATTAAGCAGGTGGTCATACAGTTATGGCTGATCGGTGTATATTTCTAACAGTACACAGAACAGGATAGTGGAAACATACTTACAAAGTTAACTACCTACGTAAATAAAAGACAAGTAAACGCAAATTACAAGTACAAACTGAATTTTGTACTATACCATAAAATAATTTTCTCAGAGTAAATTTATGTTTCAATGAGAGCAGTGTTAGACATGAGAGTGAGTCAATTCAAATTTCAAGATCATCAAGTATCACAGATGAAATATGATAATACAACCACGTAGAAATCAAATTCAGCTCTCAATAATTGTTCCTTTCAATAGTAGTTGTTCTCAAACATCAGAAATCAACATGAACAGCCCAAAAAGGTGATTTTTCATCTCATGCCTTGCAGCATCATCTATTTCCTCTGACCAGGTTTCCTATTAGGCCCAAGGAGGGCATTGATGTGACGCCAGGGGGAATTCTCTAGAAATATTTTTAGTTTATTGTGTAAGCATATTAACTGATAAACAAAGTGTTCAAGATAATACAGTTGGACAAGAAGAGAATAGCAAAGAAAAATGGGGAAAGCCAAGGAAAAGAGATGAGTGGGGAATCCAGATCTAGGGAGGTGAAATATATTGGATCCATGGATCTCATGTCATTTTAAATTTAATTTGTGAATCATTTAATATGCTTGCTAACTTGTCTTTAATTATAATCCAGTTAAGTTTGTTCTTGACTATATTCAAAGAAATGGTCAATTTACTCATTTCGTTTGGTAAATCGGTTAACCTACTACGAAGTTACACATCATCTGGGGATTTTTTTGAGATTCATAAGAGTAACCATACTCTGAGTTTATTTAGCGACACAATAGGATCCATAGATCTTTACCATTGGTACTATATTCCACTGTAAAAAATTGAAACCGAACATCAGATTGCAAAATATAGCAGGACAAACCCCCAAAAACTCTTCAAATATATTAATAGTAAAAAGGTCCGGTCCGAGAATGTAGGCCGTTTACAAAATAATCTAGAGTGCGTGACTGGGGACAAAGAGAAGGCAAATGTATTTAATACCTTCTTCAGCTCTGTCTATACAAAGGAGCATGGGGGAGCTCTTGTCCATAATGGGCATTGTATTGACACAGCTCCAGATTATCCACATTGGCTCACAACTGATATGATCCAGAAATATTTAGACAAAATAAAGGTGAATAAAGCAACTGGACCGGATGGCATACACCCATGGGTCCTGAGCTCTGTCATTTCAAAACAATTGTTTCTCATTTTTAGGGACTCTTTAATCACTGGCATAGTAAAACTGGATTGGTGTAAGGCCAATGTGGTGCCTTTATTAAAAAAGGGATCAAAATTTTTACCAAGTACTTATAGAAATGTTAATTTAACTTCTATAGTTGGGAAGATACTGTAGAGTTTAATAAAAGACCACATAGATGAGTTCTTGCTGGTAAAAAATATTTTAAGCAACAGACAGCATGGATTCATGAAAGACAGAAGTTGTCAAACAAATCTGATTTCTTTTTATGAGGAGGTGAGCAAAACCTTGGATAGAGGAGTGGCTGTGGATGTGGTATACTGGGATTTTGCAAAAGCCTTTGCCACAGTTCCCCACACACGGCTAATGTGTAAGGTAAAGTCTACGGGCTTGGAAAAATCTGTATGTAAATGGATAGAAAACTAGCTAAAAGATCGTATTCAGAGAGTAGTGGTTAATGATTCATACTCTGAATGGTCTAGGGTTGTCAGTGGTGTACCCCAAGGTTCAGTGTTAGGACCCTTACTTTTTAATATATTTAGAAACGATATAGGGTCTGGGATTAAAAATACCATTTCAGTCTTTGCAGATGACACGACGCTGTGCAGTGGAATAACGTCCTTACAGGATGTCTTCAACTTACAAGCTGACCTGAATGCACTGTTTAATTGGGCAACTATGTGGCATATGAGGTTTAATGTTGATAAATGTAAGGTTATGCACTTGGGGGCTAAGAATATGCATGCATCATACATACTAGGGGGAGTACAACTGGGGGAATCAATGGTGGAGAAGGATCTGGGAGTTCTGGTAGATCACAAGCTTAATAATGGCATGCAATGCCAAGTTGCAGTTTCTAAAGCAAGCAAAATCCTCTCTTGTATTAAAAGAGATATAGACTTCAGAGAGAGAGATATCATTTTACCCCTGTACAAATCATTAGTAGGACCTCATCTGGAATATGCAGTTCAGTTTTGAGCACCAATTCACAAAAAGAACATTGGGGAACTGGAGAAAGTGCAGAATAGGGAAACCAAATTAATAAGAGGCATGGAGGAGCACAGCTATGAGGAAATATTAGAGGAACTGAATTTATTTTCTCCTGAGAAGAGGATATTAAGGGGGGATATGATCAACATGTATAAATACATCAGTGGTTCATATAATGAACTCGGTGTAGAGTTATTCACCCTGAGGTCATCACAGAGGACAAGGGGGCACTCTTTACGTGTGGAGGAAAGGAGATTTAATCTCCAAATACGGAAAGATTTCTTCACAGTAAGAGCTGTGAAAATGTGGAATAGACTCCCTCAAGAGTTAGTTCTGGCCAGCTCAGTAGATTGCATTAACCACTTCCTGTCCAGCCGTTGTATATAAACAGCCAGACGGTGGCAGTACAGGGGCGGGTGGCCGTTTTTAAACGGCCTCCCCGCCCCCTGCTTGTGCGCGCTCCTTGGGACACACTGGAACACCGATCGTTGTACGGGACCTCTGTGTGAGGTCCCGATCATGTGATCACTTATCAGTGATCACATGAAGAGTAGTAAGCAAGATGTCACTTCTGACATCATTGCTTACTACGTGTGAAATCTGTGAATGATCACAGAGGTCACATGGTACAAGGCTATTTTCAACAGCCTTGTACCATGTGACAAGCTGCGACCAATCACAGCTCACACAGTATTTCTCAATGGCTGCAAGAATGCAGCCAGAGAGAAGGAGAAATGATTGCTTTTCCAGCCTTTAAGGGTGTAAAAGCAATCAGTGTAAAAAAAAAAAAAAATCTTCATAACCCCCCACAAGTAGTACAGTGTCACCTTGGTGACACTGTACTGCTAAGATGACAGTATGTAAAAAAAAAACAAATAATATATATAAAAAATAAAATGTTTTTTAAAAAATTATAATTTTTGGTTAAACTAATTTGGGTTATTTTTTTTACTAAAAAGATAACTGAATACATTTTGGCAAAGATTTATGAAGAAAGATAAAATTTTGCAAATAAATAATAAGAAAAACACTTTTTTTCAAATTCTTTGGACTTTTTCGTTAATATAGCAAAAAATTAAAATCCCAGTGATGAATAAATACCAACAAAATAATGCTTTATCTGTCTCAAAAAATGCTAAAAAATTCATATGGGTACAGCATGACCACGCAATTGTCATTCAAAATGTGATAGCGCTGAAAGCTGAAAATTGGCCTGGACAGGAAGGGGGTGAAAGTGTCCGGACTTGAAGTAGTTAAAAAAGGCCTGGATTCTTTCCTAAATAAGCATAATATAACTGGATACTAACATTTATAGGTGAAGTTGATCAAGGGAATATCCGATTGCCTTTCGGGAGATCACAAAGGAAATTTTTCCCTGCAGGTGCAAATTGGATCATGCTTTGCTGGGTTTATTGCCTTCCTCTGGATCAACTGTGGGTATAGGATTATAACTTTTTTTTTTTTGCATGAGCTGGATGGACTTTGGTTTTTTTCAGCCAAGCTAACTATGTAAGAACTATGTAAGGCTGTGTCCCTCAGTAATAAGGAAAAAATTTAATTTTATTAACAGATTAATGATGTGTTATTAGTTTTACTGTTACACAAAATTGTAAAAACACTTACTGGTATGCTTTGACAATTGTGTGTTCCCAAGCTAGAGACATTGCATTTCTGGAGAGTTTGGTCTAAAGGCTGAAAGAACAAAGATAGATATTACTTTTAATAATGATAATTTAACAGTCCATAATGCTTGCGGATGACATTAAAAAGGCTTACCAAATTAAGAATAGCAATTGCTAGGAGTGCGGCTATAGTCAACATAGCCAATGGAACTCTCACTAGGGGTTTAGTCTCTACCATTTCTGCTATAGAGCATAGTGAACGTGACATAGGTGAACTTTCCCCACAGAAACGCTGGAAAACAGGAGACAATCTGTTATTACTGTAGCATGCATATAAACCACCAGCTGTCTGCCAGACTGCTTTTTGTCCACAGGTAACCTGTCAAGTCTGGCTATTATGCTCTAGTTTTGTAAGTCAGTTCCACCAACAACTTATAATCAGTTAGCAAAGTGGGGTGCAGACTTACCACACATTTGTCTGCATAGCAAATAAGCAACACGCAAATGATTATCAAAGACACCACAGCAAATGAAACACCTAGTTTCACACTCCTGCAAGAGAGAAAGGTGACAAAATTTCATTAAAATAAATGATTGCTTAGCATTTGGAAACCAGTGCCTAAAACTGGAGACTAAAAATAGAATTCTATTCCATTACATGAATTAAAAAAACTAGCAAGATTATATTTTTGTCAAGGCACGCTCATAGACCTATATAAATGAATGTGCAAGTATGATCTGGTGGCTCACAGATACTAGGATTGGGTTGCAGGTTCATGAATAGCAACAGTCTGTGTGGCCAGTCAATTTTATGTTGTGTGCAGACAGGTCTCTAAGAGTGCAGAACCTAGCTGTGCTGACTGGCAGGGATGCTAGAATCAAAGACTGGCTGGGCAGAATTAGAAATTTTTAAATTCTTCAACAGGTAATACAGTTTACACATATATATTTCAACCTTGTATGTTATGTTTTCCTGGAATTCAACTTTAAGTGCCATGTTATCTCTGCTCAAGTGTATGAGGACTGTCTGCCACACATTTTCAGCTTTGTTTACATTCTCTCTCATTTGCATTTGGCAGTTAGTTACTGGCTTAGCTAAAGACCTAAAGTTTGCAAAATGACTGGAAAATATACATTTAAAACACTCATCTCTAAAAAGGACATATATATTTTTCTGGACAGTGTATTCAGATTTCTCTTAATTCATATGGTAATTCAAAGAATTAAATGAGATGCAGTTGCTTATCTTACAACTTCATCTAAATCAACCTAATATGTAAGCAACCATATCCAATACAAGGATTTTCCAACAATGAAAGTTATGTGTAACCTAATTTCCCAGAGATGAGAGATATTAAAGTTGAATAAAACTTCTTATTAGTAGCATATGTACCAACCTTGGCATGACCAAAATCTGGATCAAGAATATGCACAGGAAAACTATACTGGCACACAAGAAATAATTCCGGATCTTAGGTATTCTGAGGGTGCGGTACTAAAAAACAAAACAAACATCAACTAACACATTTAGAAAGGGAATTCACTTCCTTTAAACTTCAGGGGGACCAAACTTTGGCTATTTGGAGTAGAAAAAGTTCTGACATAAGTGGGAATAGACAATGCCCCATTCTTTGGTGTCAGTAGGAGGAAATGTGCCAAATCATTGGTGTCATTGGGAGGTTATTGTGACCCATCATTACTGTCATTGGGCCCCATTGTTGGTGTCAGTGGGAGGAATAGTGCCCCATTGTTGATGTAATTGGGAGGACTTGTGCCCCATCACTGTTGTCATTGGGCCCAATCATTGTTGTAATTGGGACATGTTGTGCCCCTTCATTGGTATCAGTAGGGGGAATTATGTCCCATTGTTGGTATCAGTGGATGAAATAGTACCCCAAGGGACAGATAAAAGCAAGAAAAGGGCCGCATACAGCCTCTGGGCCACAGTTTGGAGGCCACTGGTATACAGTAATGATATATACTGAAGATAGCATTACATGATGATAACTACATTTATTTTACATCTAAGTTAGGACAAGATGGACATGAAACAGAAATAAATATTTTGTTTTACCTCTCTTTCCAAGCCATCAGCAGTGAAAAATAACAGGAAGGCATAAAAGTCATCTGATTTACCAAACCAGGGTCTAAAAGATAGAAAACAATCTGCTTTACTTCAACTGTTCAATCCATGTCTTATTATACAGCTAGATCATAAAAATATAAAACATTAGGATCTTTGCTAATGCTCAGCATGATGCCCCTGCGTTTTGAATACAGCAATATTTACTTTATATTTTTAACGATTAGCTATGTTAAAAACAGTTTAAATGGATGATGTTCAATTTCAATGCCCAAAAACATAAGTTCACATTTAAGGGGGTTAATGTAAGATTAGTAAGAGTTTGATTTGTGGTTTATACAGCTATGTTTTGGAGTTTAAGTGAACTTGTGCTCTGCCAATTTTGAAAAACAGAATGCAAACACCGCCATAGTCATGCAAAAAGGACCACCCGTCTTTCTGGTGACTGACCTAGGAATATTAAATGCTTTTTGCCCAGTATCTGTGATTTCAACATGTTCATATGACAGCTGGACATTTTATGGGGTAACCAATAACAAGATGCATTGAAAATTTTTATTCACTAGAACCCTCTGCAGCCTAATAAAATAGAAACTTTGTGCAGTGATCCAGAAACCACAGCAATCTCACAGGATTCAGTTATACCATCAAAAATTCTTTGGCGGGCAGATTTTTTTTTTTTCATTTTATAAACAGTCAATGGTCTAATGTCATAACAAGCCTTTTACTGTTAAAAATATATACTACAGATACAAATTAAGAAATGCATGTTCTTAAAAAAACTATGAAGGCACAGAAAGAAATTTTACAAAACACATTCATACACAGTTATATGCTTCTGCCCCAAAAATCAGAACTACTGTTGTACAATGCTGCGCTGGGTCAATTTGCATGACAGATTAATCAAATCCTGTTTGAAATTTGGAAACCTGAACTTAATAGCAAATTCCATTGAATTCCATTGCAAGGATGAATCTTGTTACTAAATTTTCAAAGCTATTGGCTATTGTTTAAAAAAAAAGGGCCCGGGAGAACAGGGCATTGCCATGTAATACATTTAACAAAGTAAAAAAAAAAGTTTTAAATAACAGACCATACCATAGTTCACTTTCTCTTTGACTCCCTCAAATCTAAAAGTTCTATATTTTTCTTTTGTAAGAGAACTCTCTGTGCCTTTTCACTCAACTTATCTCTCACAAACTTGTATCTCTTGTATATTAGACTTGTGCAAGATCCCCAACCAGCTGATGTTTTTAAATCAACTGGTCAAGGGGATGCCCTTCTGGTGTCTTTATTCACTTTTTAATTTTTTTAGACAATGAGCAATAAAGAGTACTTGTATACCTTGTCCTCTTTCCCCGGGAAAGGGAAGGCAAATATCTGGGTTTCCCTCATTCTAAAAAGGGTTTCCAGATTCTGACAAGCAAATACCCCCCACTATAAGTTACCCCACCCCCTTTCTAATGTGCATTGTCCCTTAAAAGAAAAAAAAGTGTAGGATACATCTTAAAACTCAAACAAACAAATATCAAAATATCATGCATGGGTTCAGGTAGGTGAACTGGCCATTTTGTTGGCCGTTCGCTGAATTAAGAATGGGCTGGGCTTCAGTCAAATCCAAAGCTCACCTCTATCAGTAAGGGTCCACATTGAATTTTACAGACCAGCCAGTGCCTAGAAGCCCTATACTATTCATTCCCTATGCAGTTTGTTAGTAGCACTCCCTATGCTTCCCAAAACACAGATAAAGCACATTGTCAATATGGCTGCTGTGACCTTACCCTTCTATCCAAAGCCACCTTATTGGCCCTTCTAAGACAGCTGACCTAGATTCAAAAGTCAGGCAGTGCTCTATGGTTACAAAGAACCCAAACCTCATCCCTAATCAGACATAAAGAAGTCATGGGTATCTATTTCTGATAGAAAATATCAGTGGACATAAACTAGGGGAATAACTAAACTTCTTGCACTATTATAATGGTTCAGGAAACTGTCAGGAATGACATGCAACACATTAGTGAAGCAGATAGTCATGTTTCAGGTCTATCTGCATCACCCTGCACTAGTTTCTTTTGCTGAGTGAAACAGAATTAGTGTAGAGTCTGCGCACAGAGAGAATGCAAAGGTTTTCCATATATAGAACTGTTGCAGATCCCCATTCAGTTCAGAGCTGGCATACAGGATGTGAGCTTTCAGTAGACCGCTCACATCCCTCTCTCTGCCTCAGCAGTGATCACACTAAACAAGCACTCTGAGCTGAGTAGGGGCAGAAACAAGTAGAGGGATCGGAAGCATACAGCTCTATCTCTCCTGTTCTGTATTATGTCTGTCACAGCAGAAGAGTGAACTGATCGATCCTATTTAACAAACCGGCTTCTGACACTTTTCTTATTTAAGAGCAGCATCTGCTCCATTTTTGTTGTGTTTAGAAGAGTGGCACAACATTGTGTTTACACCATTTGCACTTAATTCCTCCCAAAGACCTTAACATACAACAACTTGAATATCATTGCAGCAAGTCATATTAGAACACAAGAATAAATTGATCATTACTTCCTAATATCAGATTTTAATTTATGTTGATGTTCCAAGGTTACCAGTTGCTGTCATCATGGAATACGATACAGACTACTCAAAAGATTATAATATGAACACTTTATTTGGATCTAATTAAAAAATACTTGACGTACTTAACGGAACTGAGCCCATCAATTGTGTTTAGCATTCTGTCATGGAGTTCTTCTTCCTGATTCCTTTTCTGTGACACACTCCTAAATGTAATAATAATAAAGATGATGACAATAATATTAACAGAAAGAAAACAACAACTCGCTAGTATGATAAGGTATCCATCCTCCAACCAAAGCATTTTTTCTTTGTTTTGGGTAGTGTAGTGAAAAATTAGAATCAACTTCCTATTTTTACTGCTCTGTCCCCATTGGTGATTCACCTCTTTCCTGAGTGGACACCTGGACAGGAGGTGAGATGAAATCTAACCATTTGGGAAAATAAGCAATAAAAAAAAACAAAAAAAAAAAAAAACTGACAGTTAAAAAAACTGGCCTCATTTTTTTTTAGCCGGTGCAAAATATCACTATGGTGTCCACAACACACTACTGTCCTTAGAAAGTTAGACTTTAGAATGGACACCAATTATGTTTGCTCTTGAATGCATTATTTAACATACAGTAGTTGATAAGGTTGGGTCCATCCAGTTCCTTTATGTGTGTGTGTGTGTGTTTTAATTTGCTACCAATTTCCATGTCCTTGTATATTATATTCCCTGAGAAACATTTTTTTAACATATCTACACTCCCCACTGACTCCATTAGGGCTACTTTCACACTGATCCATAGCACAAATGCGGCAAAAACACATATGCGTTTTTACCGCATTTGTGGTGTTTGTTTTACAGGACACATGACTCAAAAAACACAATGTAGGTGTGCTTTTTATGTGTTTTTTTGCAGCAGTTTCTATTGACTTCAATCGGATGTGCATTTGTCGCGGGTTTTGTTTTACCACACCAAACCTGCACCAAAAATTGAGCAAGCAGGTTATTAAAAATGGCACCGGACCCACAATGGACCAGTGTAAAGAGTTCCATAGGAATACATTGTCACACATTTTTCTTCCGCTTTTTTTTTTTTTTTTTAACGCAAAAGCAGAAGAAAATCAGATCAGTGTGAAAGCAGCCTAACTGTGGACAGTAAAGAACTCTGTGGGCAGTTTATGATTGAACGGCTTCTTTAGAGACCTTAGATTTTAACAGTTTTCTCCTGGTGTTACAGTTACCATTGAAAGATTTGTTTATTGTGATCATATCCCCTCTTACGTATCTCCTCTCCAAATGAACAAACATAACTTACACCTTCTTTTAGTTAGATCTTGCAGCAGTATTGCTAGGTTTTATCATCATCAACTGACTTGCACCAACTGAAAACATCCTTTAGAGGACATGTATTAAATCAAGATAGTTTCTGTTGGTGCTGACCTGTACTAAAGCATAGCAGTTTTTATTGGTGCTTTTATTTATAAGAATCTGGCATTGCACAATTCTTGTCAGCCAGTTAGATTATAACATTTAGCAGCATTACAATTGCCTCACTAAAATCAGAAGATGTCCCCTGCTAATACAAACGACAGGCACCCTGTGCAACTGCATGATCCAGGTTGGCACTGGGAATATAAAAACCTTTCTAACCCTATCCAAAAGAAAAAGTTTTAGCTGGAAATCCTCTCTAAAGCTAGTCATAGATGGTTCGAATCTTGGCCGTTTCTGCAGTGACCGGCCGAGATATGAACCATGTCTGGGCAAGCTGAACAACCAGCCTGTTGAGTTTTACATGTGATTATTGCCAGCAGATATTATAGCCACTAGCAGTAATCACTGTGTTCTTCCAGAGGGGATGGCTTACCCTGCCCTCCTGCCAAGAGAACACAATGGCTCAGCGGGAAGGATTGCGGGAAAGAAAAATCACTCAATTCCCCCATCAACACACTCAATGTTGATGGAGGAATTGAGTGATTTTTCTTTCTTGCAACCCGTGGATGCAGGAAAGAAAATCGCACTGTCTATGACCAGCTTAAGCTGGCCACAAACATTTAGTGAAAGTCGTCAAACATGGCATCACAAACCCTCTAGCTGTAAAATTTCAACATTGAATCAGACAGGCTAGATTACTGCATCATTTTGCCATTGTTCTCTGAAAGGCTGGTGGCACTGGGAACACCACATCCTCCAATTACCACTCCTCCATGACACTTACATCAATGTATGTGCCTTGCTGAGCCCAATGTGCATATAAATAATGTGATCTACAGAGAGTTCAGCCTGAAAGTGGATAAGGTCTGCATATCTGAAATAACAAGTCTATGGGCATTCTTATTCTTCGACAGCACTTAACAGAGTAATATGGACACATGTAAAAAAAGGAATGATGTGAAAGGAAGATATTTGTAGAGTCTCTCATAACCCAATTTTTTGTTTTATTTGAATGGCAAATAAAAAAAAATTACTAATGGATTCTGGTTCTGCTATAGGTAATACGGGCTCTTTTCTAAGCCATCTGCACCCAGAGCCATGTGCATCAGATTCTTTCTTTCATTTTCAAACAAGCACTCAAAACATCTGAAAAAATTATTTATCTGCTTTTAAATTGTTTTTCCTTCTTTTATCTTTTGATACACTATACTCTTAATTAAAACCCATGCAAAGACACCCACAACAGTTTCATATACCTTTCATTATTAGAATGCCGACATATTCCTTGCATGGGGATTTCCTGCAAGAGAAAAGGTAATATACTGTAAGTCAGACAACACAAGCTGTATTTGTTTTACCAATCTCAGTCTTAAAGAATATGTTACCCCAACATTTCATATTCCTGACATGTCTGCTATACCATATACTTGTGTTAAAACATACCCTGTTCTCATTGTATTGCTTCCTTTGTGTGAAATACCTGGTGATCTTGTCAGTTCCCTTGCTTTCTTATTTCAGTACATCCATCTCAGCGTGGTCAGTTTTATGGCTTTGCTAGGAGAACACAACCTGCCTGTCCTCCAATAGTCAGACCTGTGCTGACAGGCCCCCCCCACCCCTGCACAGTTATTCACTGGAAAGATCAGTGTAATGCTGCTTCTCCACCCCCACCACTCCAAGTTCCTTATACAACTGAGAATAAAGACTATATGACCCTTTATACGAAGAAAACAAAGGTACTATTTTTTATATATATATATATATATATATATATATATATATATATATATATATACACATGCATATACACACATACATACATACATACGGTATATAGATATATACACACACATATATATATATATATATATATATATATATATACACACACACACACACAGTGCTAACCATAAATGAGTATACCACTTTTGAAAAGTAACATTTTAATCAATATCTCAATGAACACAAGAACAATTTCCAAAATTTTGACAAAACTGAGTTTTATAGAACATGTGTTTAGCTCATTACATGAAAGTAAGGTTAATAATATAACTTAGATTACAAAATCTTCAATTTTACTCAAATTATGCAAAAATGAATATACCCCACAACAAAAATGACTCCATCTAGTATTTTGTATGGCCTCCATGATTTGTATGGACAACACAAAGTCTTCTAGGCATAGAATGAACAAGTTGGCGACATATTGCAACATCTGTCTTTTTCCATTCTTCGTGAACGACCTCTTGTAGAGCCTGGATGCTGGATAAAGAGTGATGCTCAACTTGTCTCTTCAGAATTCCCCATAGGTGTTCAATTGGGTTTAGATCAGGAGACATACTTGGCCACTGAATCATTTCCATCCTGTTCTTCTTCAGAAATGCAATAGTGGCCTTAGATGTGTGTTTTGGATCATTGTCATTTTGGAAAAGTGCACGACAACCAAGGGCATGAAGTGATGGTAGCATCTTCTCTTTCAATATATAGAGCAGTACATCTGTTAATTCATGATACCATCAATGACATGCAGTTCCCTGACATCAGCAGCACTCATGCAGCCCCACAGAAGGACACTGCCGCCACCATGTTTCACTGTAAGCACCATGCATTTTTCTTTGTACTCCTCTCCTTTGCAATGCCATACAGTTTTGAAGCCATCAGTTCCAAAAACATTTATCTTGGTCTCATCACTCCAGAGCACTAAGTCCCAGTAGTCTTTTTCTTTTTCAACCTGGGCCCTGGCAAATTCTAGGTGTCTTTTTTGTGCATGGGCTTTAGAAGAGGCTTCCATCATGGACAACACCCATGCATGCCATTCCTCTGCAGTGTGCGGTGTATTGTTTCACGGGAAACAATCACCCCAGTTTGGCTTTCTACTTCTTTAGCTAACTGCAGTGAACTTGCATGGTGATTTTGCTTCAACTCTTCTCATCAGAAGATGCTCCTGTCGAGGTGTTAACTTCCGTGGACGGCCTGGACGTCTCTGTGAGAAGGTTGCAGTTCCATCTTTGTTAAATTTTTGTATGACTTTTGCTACAGTATTCTGACTGTTAAGTAAAACTTTCCTGATCTTCTTGTAGCCTTCACCTTTCTTGTGTAAAGAAATTATTTTCTTTCTTAGGCCTTGTGACATTTCTTTTGCATGTGGTGTCATTGCTGATAATTCAAATTTGGAAGGGGTTTTCTATGTTAAGTAATGCCCTTTTATAATTAACTGTATGGTGGACACCTGTTTAATGAATAATTATATATACACACACATTTGCCTTTCATTTTTTATACACACACACACATTTGCCTTTAGTTTCTGTTTTAAATGAAATGGGTTGTTACAAGGTAAGTGTTCATATATACTTTAATTTTGTGGAGAAAATATGGAAACTGTTCAATTAAAGTGTAATTACAGCTTACACCTAACTAGTCTTAAAACAGTCCCATACCCCCTTCTAACAACTATGCTAACATAAGTAAGTTGTATTTACAGTACTTACCTATTTTCAAGCAGCTCCAGTCCAGTCACGTGATCCCCCCTGTGCCAGCCAGCAGGGCTGCAGGGGAGAGGAGAGAGCATTTCAACAATATAGCAGTAGATCACTTCTATATTGATCAGTTTGCTGAATGACTGCAGCCAGCAATAGATTGCTGTTAGAAGCGATCTGCTGCTGCACAAGGGGTCTGGATCTGGTTTCCACTGAAAAAAAAAAGTGTAAAAAACAGAACAATACACAGTGTGTGTTGTGTATATATTATTTATCCAACATGAATGCCCGGGTCACAATAATGATGTTAGATGTTCTGGATGATAGAAAGGAGAGGAGAGAAATCGGCTGCACAGGTCTGGGAAATTGAACTGTGATCATTGCAAGAAAAGGAAAGAAAGAGGGTTTCTCTCCTCTCTTACCACCGAGACTCAGCATGGGATGCCTGCAGGGAGGTTTCCCGCACTTCTTCTGTGTGAACTCAAGCTATGAAATGTCTGGGTTCACACAGAAGCAGTGTGGAAACCGCAGGCGATTTGGACAGGAATTGCATTCCTGTTCAAATTGAATGCTAATCTTTGCGGTGCAATTTGCATCCATTAATGCAAATTGCACCACAAAGTATCAGTTAAGCTATCAGGAGTATTTTCACAAGTACAAGTACTCGTGAAACTACTCGGTATTGGCACCGATACCAGTATCAGTGCATCCCTACCGGGGACAATCTGGTCCTTGGTCTTCTCTGTGACAACTCGGTGGCAGATCACATCCTGAGCTTTGTGAACACATGGGAAGCCAGGAAACAGCGCAGATAAGCGTGATGACCCCCTCCCTCCTCCTGTAAATGTAATCTAGTGGCAGTTTAGCTGCTCGGATTACTTTTACTTGAAAGAGAATCATTGGCTGAGAAAAATGATATCGGATCAGTGGCGGACTGACCATTCGAGCACTCGGCACTGCCTGAGGGCCCGGGGTCAGTAGGGGGGCCCCATGAGATGCCACTGGTACCTTTCATTGGATTTTTCATAGCCTTTTTTGGGTGTGGGCGAGGACACAGGGACCCCATGATCCCCATTTGCCCGGGGGCCCCATGAGTTGTCAGTCCGCTCCTGTACCGGATCCTGGTTGTAGCCTCAATCATAATCCCGGCATCACCGCTTCCCTATTAGGGCATATATATACTATTGCCAGTAGGGAAGCGCTACTATTTGCGCTATCTCTAAAAAAAGTTTGTGTAATACATTAGGGCAGACCACAAAACCTAAATACTATATTTGTGAAACCAAGATATTGAAAAAACAAAACAAAAAAAAAACTCCATACTCTGGGACAGATTTATTTAAAAAAGGTCTGGGAACTCAAGCGGCATAAATCTTTACAGTAGCCATATGCCAAAACACATAACGTAAAAACAGCAGCAGTGGCTACATTCTCTCCCAGCTCCTTTGCAGCAACTATAAGGTGTGGGTGTACAATACCATCGAAGAACACCATTGCACTGTGTTTACGATCCTCAGCTTCTAGGAGAAAAATCTGAAAATGTTGAAAAATCCCACTAGTTGCTGAATGACCATTATTGGCTGGTGTGTTGGCATTACCAAGGGCCAACATGTTATTCAGGCCCAACACACATAATTTCTACAGCTCCCCTATGCGTCCCTAAAACAGACTGTACATTATATAATCTGACTGTACAGTCTCCTTTAGATCTACCATCATTATGTAGTTTAGGGGCCTGCCTGATTTCATACAAATTGAATGGATTGTTTAGGTTTGTCTTTATATAACATAATTTCAGTAAATGTAAAGAGGATTGTACAGAGATTGTACAAGCAAATTTTTATAGTGTATGGCCAGCTTTACAATGAGGCTATTTGAGATCTTAAAACAAAATTGCTAGTCGGAAAGGTGTTTTCCTAGATGAAGCTTTGCATTTCTCTGCTGCCAAAACAGCTTTCCCTTTCCTCTAGCAAATTTGACAACGTGCATTTGCCACAAAACGCGTTAGGCGATTCTACTTTACCTACCACTACTACCCACATGGTCCACACCTTGATACGGGCGGCCATCTTTACAATACTTGGAATTGTGAATTGCACTATGTAAGTGCTTCATTTGTTTTATACTCCTTAATAAAAGTTACTACACTATCGGAAGCCTCTCTCTTGGGTTTATTTCTGAGCCCTGAAGGTGACTCCTGTTCCATGAGTGCACACCGCACCCCCTGGAGGTCGCTGACACAAAAGGATTCCACTACATACCGGATGAGCGTTTATCCCACTGGATACCTGGTAATGCCATAATTGGAGAGGACGCAGGATGATTCTGGTGACCACAGCAGAGACGACCACCACTCCGGCAGGTTTCCTGATCCATTGACCAGGAGTAGGTCATTTTACTCCAATGCGCTACTATTTGCGCTATCTGGTTAGTGCACTCTACAGCCACACTTCCTACCACAGATGTCACAGATTTCTTTATGTCACTCCAATGATATATTGACTTTGACACTATGTACACTTTTTTGACCATGAGAATGTTGTAGTATTGGTTGCATATACCATTACCTTTATGCTAGCTGCGTTTATACCCATTTAGGTGGTCACATTGCATTGTGAGACAGATCTTTATACCTTAGCGCTGCATGTTTTCTTTTCGTGACTGTTACCCCATGAGGCGTTTTGGAGGGTTGCCTTTCATGCCAGCTGCTTTTATATTTTGTTCTAAAACTATCCAGCGCTCGTTTTACCCCTTTTTTATCTCTTTTTTAATTCCTGCAGTATATGTGCAGTACAGCATATCTCCC